GGGAAGGGAAGGGAAGGGAAGGGAAGGGAAGGGAAGGGAAGGGAAGGGAAGGGAAGGGAAGGGAAGGGAAGGGAAGGATCTATTCAACCAGTCTTCAGACCTCGTCTGGCCTGGCAATCCCCCAAAAAAGCAACCTAAATCATCATCTCCTAGCCACTAGTGTTGCTGCAGAAGAGTTTATCGTGAGAATGAATCTTGCTGGCAAGCTGGGAGCAATTAGACTGACCACGGAGCTGATCACAGAGCTGATCACATAAAGGAAGGGGTGTATCAAAGGTTCTAGAACGTCGTCTCCTGTTGGAAAAGGTAAAAGGCACTAATGCAAAAGATGCAGCACCCCTGCAGGGTTAGTTGAGCTTTCCCATCTTGAGGAGAGATTTTGTCCTTACCTCTACAGAGAGAACCCTCTATGTGGACTAAGAGAAAATCTGGGATAATTGAATTTTGAGAGTTTTAATTGAAATCCATGTCAGATACTACACAGAGGCTCCAAGGGATATATATGTATTTTTTATCCAGATATAACATGACTTGCTTTCTCGTTCCTTCAAAAGTCAGTGGCAATGGCCTTGACCCCCCCTGAGAAAACTCTTCAGTATCAGTGGTTTAATTCAGACTTCTGGGCTCTTCTCAGGAGGCAGGGGCTGAAAACCTCACCTGTTTTGGACACCATTGCCCAACAAAACGTGGAGTTTCATCACAGGAGAAGTTTGAGAGCGCATCTTCTCATGATCCTCCTTCGAGCACACATCAGTTTGAATGAAGTTTTCTATTTGGACTGCTTACAACTCCAGCTGTAGATTATGCTCCAGCTGCATCTACATTACCAAGGTGAGCATCACCAGTGTGTTTCAAGAAAAAAGCTCAAGGAGGGAAGGTTTAGATTGGATGTCTGGGATAAGTTGTTCATAGAGAGTGGGGAGGTGCTGGAACAGCTGCCCTGAAAGGCAGTGGATGTCCCATTCCTGGAGGTGTTCAATAACCAGGTTGGATGGGGCCCTGGGCAGCCTGGTCTGGTATTAAGTGTGGAGGTTGGTGGCCCTGCATGTGGCAGGGGGTTGGAGCTTCATGATCCTTGAAGTCCCTTCCAACCCTGACCATTCTGTGATTCTGTGACTTACTCCAACTTGCTCCTGAGCCCCTAAAGCAGCTGCTTGATCCTGAACAAATCAAACCAGCTCCAAACTCATTTTCTTGCAGGACATCTTTCCAAACCTCACTCTGGCTGTGCACTCCCCACCCTCCTCCCTATTCCATTCAGCCCATGCATGTCACATCCTTGCCATGCTGTAGTGTCACTGCGGCTACGTGGGTTGCACCAGAGCAAGAATTTCCACTGGGAAATGCAAGGATGGAAGAGAAGGAGCTTTGCTGAGCCCACCAAGGCTCACTGATGCATACCTTGAGACATGGGCCTACAGCAACTCACCTTGACTGGGGACATGGCTTAGTGGGCATGGGGCAACAGCTGGACTTGTTGATCTTAGGCAAAAGTATTAAAAAACTCTGACCTGACAGAGTTTCTCAGATTTGTGTAAATCATTGTGGATCCACCAAATTATATGTAACCCCAAAGACTTTAAGTTCTTGACAGAGAGAGTGGTGAGGTGCTGGAACAGCTGCCCAGAGAGGCTGTGGATGCCCCATCCATCCCTGGAGGTGTTCAAGGCCAGGTTGGATGGAGCCCTGGGCAGCCTGGGCTGCTATGAAATGTGGAGGTTGGTGGCTTCTGGCAGGGGGTTGGAACTTGATGATCCTTGGGGTTCCTTCCAACCCAAGCCAGTATATGATTCTATGACTCTATGACAAGGCATAGGTTAAGACTGTCCCCAACAAATTTCCACACGAAACTACAGAAAGGTTTCCACGAAGGCCCACAGCAGCTGACAGGCAGATGACACTGAGTTAAATACACAGTGATGCAGAGGGATCTCAGTGCTGACCTACATAAGGCAAACGACAATGTCTCTAGGGCACAATTCCTTGAACACATATCAATCAACTGACACACAGAATCATTCTCAAGATCTCCCTACTCCAAATTTTGTAGATACGAAGAAAACCTCTGTTTTTGACATCACTGAAAAAACACGTAATAACTTACTGAGATGACCATCCAGAAAGCACAGAATCATGCAGTCTTTTTATTACAACATTTATTTTAGTATAGAAGGCACTTACAATACAGAAAGGAAAAAAAAAAATGATAGGCACTGAAAGTGCAGTTAGAATTAAAATGACAACAGATCAACAGACAAAAAGAGCACCCTTCCCTGTTAACAATACAGCACACAGAAATGAAGCTATTGATGACCGGGCTTTTAAAACAGGGCTTTTTTTTTTTTCTTTTTTCTGTTTTTAATAGGAAAAGATAAAGGCTGTTCTACTGTGAACTGAAATAAAAATAAAATAATAGTAATTAAAAAAAAAAAAAGGAATCTCCTCCACACACCTGGAAAATGAATGGGGAGTTGGTGGTGGTTGCAAACATGGGGCCTTTTAGCTCCGGCACTGCAGGAGGTCCTGGTACATCTCAATGAGGTGAGCAGCCTCTCTCTGCCCAGAAAGCACAGCACCGTGGGTAGTGGAATAATACTTCCTGTGAGTGGCCTCCCCTGAAAACATCACCTGCATCGGCTGGAGGGGATAAGAAAAGTGGGAAAGCTCAGCAGAGCTTACTGAAAAGTACGCACGAGGCAAAAAGGAGATGATATTTTTGTGCCCTCCCGCATCCCCCATGAGCTGATATGCTATAGGTGTTCATAGGTGGCTACTGAAGCCCCAGTGTGGTGTGGGACAGGCGTAGCATATCTGGGAACATGCAGCTAACCCTTTCTGGAGGGCCTGCATGTGGTTCTTGGCAGAGCTGCGGCACCATCCCAGCTCCCACAGCCTCAAACAAAGCTGCACAAGTCACTGAGCATCCAACTTCCGTGCTTTCTGTCCTCTTTGCTTCCCCCAGATCACACCTCAGACTTCTGGACATTAAAGATTTATTTGGGAATTGCAACTTCGGAAGGAAAGGCAGCCACATCTCAAAACCCACAGGGTGAAACAGTGCCTTCTCTCTCACATCAACAGTTCAGTGCTGGGTAAAATTGCTCCTCGTTCACTTTTGAGGATTTCAGATCCCACTCTTCCTCAAGAATGAATGCGAAAGGTTCCTAAAGCTTCTGCTGTCTTTTTTAATAGATTTCCATGCTGACCAAAATTACATGGTGGCTCTGGGTGCTTGTATGGCTGTTTGGAGGCTGCATATCCATCAGACATTGTCTCTGGATTTGGATGGGGTGAGTTTGATTAATTTATTATTGCTTATAAATTGAGCTGCAGTAATAATCTCCATGTGTGCTCTCACTCTCTTTAAGAAAGTGAAGACAGTATCTGGGGAACAAATCTCTCTGTCCCCTGCCAATGCACGAGTCCCTCAGCCAAGGACTGGATTTCCATTACCCTCTCCTGCCAAAACATAAGGATTTCCTAATATGCTCCTCTGAAATATTAAGACCTAGCCATTAGCAGGGGTTATGCACTTAATGCTGTATATTCTGTGTATGCTTTAAATCAGAACAACTTTTCCTAAGGAGCTCTGAACAAGCTAATGATCCCAATCACAATTTCAGAAGCCACTTGGAAGCTCAGCTCTTGGCACTTCTTTGGGAGAGGTAGGAATCCCAAGGTGTTGGGATTCCAGTCACTAAGGAGGTAAAATCCTACGTCCATCACTTGTCCAGATGGGTATAAAAACATGGAAAACACACTACTGAAGGCCCCAAGAAACTCTCTCTTTCAATCTGCCTCCCAGAAAACCCACTGCCCAGTGTCCTATTAGTCTTCTCGTCACTCAGCTGATTCGGGCCATACTTACAGTAGTTTTGGAGCTCTCAGCATAAGGCAGTGGCTTAGCAAGTTTCTCCACGTCGGCCCCGCTAGACCCAACTTGGGTGTAGGAATAGGATCCACGGAAATTGGGATTGCTGCCCCAGGAGGACCGCAGGATCCGACGAGGTTTTGGAATGTTTGGATTCCCTGGATGGAAGGCAAGAGGAGAGTAAAAGTGAGCCTGCATTCAAGAGAAAACATCTGTGCAAGTTGTGAGTGGCTTGTATTCAAAACACATCCTGGCAGAGCCTACAGGCTACATGGAAGAGAACCTCAACCAGATCTCCTTTCTAACTATGTTCCAGGTTTCTAAATAACAGCATCCCTCTTAACTCCAGCCATCCACTCACAGCCTCGCATTTTAGGAAAGATTGTTAAAACATACAGAAGAGATTTGGGAGCTCCAGAGAACCCAGGACACATTCTAGGTGAAAATATACAGCATTCCCTGCTTTCATTCAGCTTCCAGACCCTGGTGGTGATCAAGCAATTCATCTCACCTAGTTTTAGGTATCTAACTGGGTGCCCACTCTAAACTGGATGATAAAGTAGTCTCATAAGAGACACTCCTCCAAAAAGAACAGTAATGAGAAGGCAAATCCTCATTATGCAGGTGCATAGGTAAGCCTGTCAGAAAGTTCTCAAAGCCTGTATTACTCACTCTAACTGCTCCTCAGACACCAAAAACAAATCTAAACTCCAGCAGACCCATTCCGTGGGATGCACGTGGCATGGAAAGGAGAATGATGCTGGGAGGAAGGTTTCTAGATTGCTGTAAGATTTCAGTGTGGATGCAGGACATGGAGGTGAGGGTAGCTGAGAGAAAAAATTCTAAGAGGCAAAGTGACTGAGAGTTGTCACAGATTACACAGCTCCTGTGGCTGCTTCAGGCCCTGGCTTTGTAACATTTCAACATGCTTAGCCTAGCACAAAGACTATCCAAACTCTGCTTTCTTCATCACAGCTCTAAAGATTAATGCTACTTAGTTCTACTAAACAGTCATTGCCTTTAATTCCTTAAAATCAGGAGCAAATTATTGCCATGGTTCAGCTACCACTTCTTGGAGTACGATGTGCCTACCAGAATGATGAAATATAAGGCTGAAGCACAGCAAAGGCACCCGGGTGGCTTGTTACTGTACCCTGTGAACACTTTCTAACCACTAATACACAGATCAAAATATGGCACAGACTAGCAAACAAACACACCCTACAAACAAAATGCACCCTATAAATGAATGTTGTTTCAGGACTGAGCATAACAAAGGCTCCAAAACACGCTCCTCCAAGAATCATCAAAGTGAGAATGCCTGGGATGGAAGCGAGAAGCCCAAGGGAGTCTGAGAATAGGGAGCTCTCAGATGCACCAAGGAAATAAGTTATCTTGTTTTATTTTGAAGGGCTGTGGGAAAGCTCAGGAGAATATACCACAAACACCATGAGAGGACACAACAGCAAGCAGTCATCCATTGTGCTGCATTACAAGAAACAATCATACAAGTGAAAGGAGTCTCTGCAGTGGGCTGATGATGCTTCTCCTGCATGTTCTTATATTCCACTGCCAACGTAGAGTCAACATGTAAAACATGCCAGTAGAAAGATAGTTGATAGAATCATAAAATACCCCAAGTTGAAAGGGACCCAGAAGGATCACCAAGTCCAACTCCTGGCTCCACAAAGGACCAAAGAAACATCAAGTTTCTACTAATGTAGAAATACTACAAGCAGTGAGATGATGGCTTGTTTGATAAGGCCACATATTTGAAAGACTGAAATTTGTTAACAAAATAATTTGTGGAGTCGTCAGCTCAATTAACAGTGGTATAAATCCTGTAATATTTGATAGAATAGTCATTCGAACCAGTAAAAGCAACAGCTTTGCATCTCTCTTGTGTTTCCCATGGATGATTGTGTGCCACATACACACAGAAGTAAACATCAGCCTTCCCAGGAGGAAATTATTCTTCACATAGTTCCTTCCATCACAAGGGAAACCACAGCACAGCAACACGAAGCACATAGATACCTCTGCCAGCACGGATCTAAGGAGCCCTGGGTACTTTATATGGCAGCTGTGTAGAAGAGAAGCCAATCTCCTTCCTCAGCACCACACTGTGTGGTGCAGACAGCTCTCCTGAGATCCCCTAAGGTTTTCCTTTAAGGTTCTCCAGCACACCAGACGTGATGCAAATGTCTCCTGTTAAACCTCTTGTGCTGCTGTTTGCAACACAGAAACTACAAAGACTGGCAGACTCTTTCAAGGAGTATATTTAATTGGGCTTTTTCAATCTGCTTTAAATAGATGGATAAATATGGTGCCTTTGCCTACAGACAAAAGTAACAACCAGCACAGATGTGGAAACTTGTAAGAACTGAGCACTCATTCACTGTCCAGAGATAAAACGTCTTAAAAAAGAAATCAGCCTTCACCAAAATAGGACACATTTTTTATGCCACTGAGTCCCATTTGTGAAGCTATGGAAGATAAATTCACATGCTTCCTACAGTCCTCTCTTCATTCTGCACATTCACTGGTTATGGGACTGATATGAGACAATGAAGCATCACAAAATCAACATATACCTATCAGTTGAGACACCCAAACTTTGATTATCTGCCAGCAGAGCATCTAAAATCCCATCAGTGTTACAGAGATAGGTGGTACCATCTCTATACATCAGCATCCACAGGCAGCAAAGGGATATCAGGACATCTTAGATATTACACAGTATGGCACAGCACTGAAAAGAGATCCACTGCCTTTTGGAGAAATAGCAGGGGCACAGGCAGAACTCCTCAGGGCATCTCCAGCCTAAGCTTGGCAACTCAGAGGGAGCAGGCCTGCAATTATACCTTCTGGCATCTAATGCTCAGAGCTTAGCCAACAAAGAAAGCAAAGAGCAAGACCAGTAATTGTCTGGAGGCATCCCATTTAATCAGCTCTACAGGAGCCTGCAGCCTTCTGTCATCCAGTTGTGAAGAGCTCTGACTGCCAATGGTTCTGAGGCTAGAACAATCCCAAATGTTTTTATCAGCAAAGCCAGATAAGCCCCAGCACTAACCTGCAAGTGAAATTTAAGGTCACAAAGGTATGTTATCTTCTCTTAGAGAGAAATACTCAGCATAATATAACACTCTAAAAGAATGGATTGACCGTAGGGCATGTCCAACACCCTCTGAAGCCAATGGAAAGGGCTCCACAAGCAACAGACTAAGGAAGATCTGAACTACCTCACAGAAGAGCCTCTCTTTCCACCCTGGGGAGCAAAGTTAAAATTAGGAACCCAAACAATTATCCCCAAAAAACTCACAGGTGGGCTTTTGTTGTTGTTTTGTTTGTTTGTTTGCTTGGAAAAAAGTGGAACAAGTCATGCTATATAATGGGTGATTCAAGGACAGGCTGGAGACTTTTGCAGTCTTAAGCACAAAACGTTCACTGCAGGGCGAAGCTCAGTAATATTCCATGTGAATTTCTCCAGGGTTAGATAACCCAGGATTGGAGGTTGAGACGGAAATCATTCAGCTAAGAGTCTGATGGACAGTGACCAGGTGCAGCATCAGCTGGAACAGCAACTGTAGCACGTACCAATGACTCAGTGCCAACCTATTTCCATTCCAGGAGGAAGAGAAGAACATCCAACACACACAAAACAATAACAGCAAAGGAGCACAACAAGGAAGAGGGAGAATAGGAGAGTATACTCCCATCGGCCAAATTAATACAAAGCCAAGGAATCAACTCTCTTAGATAAATTGAGATGAAAAAGGTGATTTAAGTGAGAAGAGCTGCAGCAAACAAGGTTGTTTATACTCTCAGGGAGACGTCAGCACTAGAACTTGGCTTTCAAACCTCCTGCTGTGCTTCCACAGAGCAGCAGCTGGCCTGCTGAAGCCAAGAGGAATGAAGGCATGTGTGTACTGCTACTGTGACGTGACGTAGGGATACCCAACACCACTGAAAACAAACAGCTCAGGAAACAGAAGCTGCAGCAGAACCACAGGGCCATCATCCATCACGGATGTATCACTGAGAAGAATGAGCCAAGGATTCAGTTTTGGTCCCCACAATGGAGTTTGTGAAAACAAAGTCTAGCCAATGTTTTCTAAAGAGAGTACTAAAATGGTCTATGAAGGCAGTCCTCAGCTTCCAGGTCCCCTTCTGTAGATCTCTGCCCTGACAGCAGCAAACGGTCTGTAAATGCAGGGGAAAGCTACACTCGTGAAGGCAAATTTCTTCAATTAACTAGAGATCGTGGACAAGAGGTAGGGCTGGAAACTCACTGGGTGTTGAGATTTGGGTAGCATGAGGTAACAGATATAAATAGGTTAAGTGGGGGACTTGTTTCTGGAATAAAACATATCTAATCTTGAAGGACGCTGCTCTTACAAATACTCACAATTTGTGATT